ACAATTATTGAATGAGGTTGAACACGATATGAAGAATTATCAAGCCCGAAGTTTGCCGTTATCAACCGAAGCCGAAGGCTGAGGTTGATAACGGCAAACTGAGGGCTTGATAATTCTTCATATTGTGTGAAAACCGAATTCAATAATTGTTTTATTATTTATTTAAAAAATTCAAAACAAACATTTGTATTTTATTTGTATTAAGAAAAAAACAATTCCTTAGTCCTTCGCCAGCTGTCGTTGCGTCATATCAATGGCGTCAGCGAGTCAATATGATTCTCGTCGTCATAGTAATATGGCGCAAGCGCGTCCAAATTTTTTTCATTTTGACTCTAGTTGACGTCATTTTGCTAATACGAATGTGAAAAATCCGTATTTGGTCAGCCATTGAGTTGATATGACAATTTCACAGTTGGCTGTTAGCCAATCAGAAACCAGGAATTTTTTAAATAAAGAATAATATTTTATTCATATTTTGCTCAGAAACCAGGAAAAGCGTTGTTGGAGAAACTTCAGATTCAATACTCAAAACTACATCAGCTCTGTCGCGGTAAGTATATTGTACAGTACAAACATTGGTTTACGAAATGTTAGAGAGTGGTCGATACCATGAAAGATTGAGCAAATAGTAGATACGCTATAAATATATTGTAGATAGATGTACTTCTTATTTGTTTTACATTGAAATATCGCTGTTTAGGTGACGGCGGAACAACTTCAGAGAATGCTATTGAGTTAGCCCCATTGGAACACGACTCGTCCTACGCCAAGAAAAGGGTAACATGAAAAATGTTTTGTCAGCATAGTTAACGATTATGCATATCTTGGAATTGATATTTCTTGTATTTTGTAGTTGAACATTGAGGTAGCCATTCAGGAAGCATTTCTGAGATTTAACATCGCTATTTTAAAAGGATATAGGTAATTTTGACATGCCTTTTATACTGAAAGGTCGCCACAACAGTCCAATAAACGTTCTAAGGGACCGGTCATTATATATGAAGGGGGCAGGGGGGCACCGAAGAGAATGTTGTTCTTTGTAAAAAGTTTGCTGATCCTAACCATTAAATTTTTTTACCCAATCTCGAATATCAATAAAAAAGTAAATATATACCCACTTCCGGCGAAAATCCTTACGAAAGGATACCGTTCAGTTGTCACACATGTCCTTTACAAACTTTTGTGGCATGAGTGTGATAACTGCTTGTGCAATTTTCTGCAGTCTAAAGTTTCATGTTGTCTGCACAAGTACTTTCTTTGGAGACAACATTTGCCTCCTGACAAATCGGGAAATGATCAAGATAGTGACTCCGATTGATTTACATAAATTGACGTATGACTGTTGACATTGATTTCGAGTCTTCAATATTTGAGTGAGTCATGCTTTGGAAATAACAATAAATTTTTATTACCCAACCCTTGAGTTGTTTTGTTTTTCATTTACCCAACCTTTTACTCAACCAAAATATTGTTTACCCAACCCTTTTCTCTTCGGTGCCACCCCCCGTCATAAATAATGACCACTCCTTAATAAACTTTGTCACATTTTGTTTTGTCCAGGTCTTACTTAAAGCCTATACTTGAAGTGTCAAAGAATATGACGGATCTTAGCCAGGATTCATTATTTGATTTACAAGGTATCGATTATGTAACGTATTTTATTGCACAAGTTTCTGATCAAGTCCAACTTTTTGTCCTCACCAAATCCAGTGGCCATTTTCGCCACCATCTGGGCAATCTCATTCTGCCAAACATTTCTGTGAAGCTTAGTAACAGCCCCAGTGACCTCTATATATCTGGAGAAAGAACTTCAGTCATTTGGCCCATGAGAAAAATGAAACCAAGATAGCGGCCATTGACGTCCAATAGCTAGAAAGATCGTAAACAGTTTTAATACCATTTTTCCCCAGCTAATTCCAGTTCTTTTTTCTAACGCACCGTATCGCTAAACAAGTTGTCAGTTCATAAAATTATGGTGTTATTCTTTTAATTGATGTCAAAATACGAAATTTCGGCAGACTCCTTGCCTCGTGTTAACTGACGTCCAATAGCTCTTCAATTTCTGCCATCTTTTTTTCCCTTGCTGAGCACCTTAGCAGATGAAGCTGAATCCATTACTGGACCGAATAAGCATAAATGTGTATGTTAGCTTCGTTGCTACAGGTCCTTGCAAATTGTATGCACCACATTGTGCTCCAAAACTTTATTAGTACTATTTTACAATTCAATAGTGGTTATGCACTTTTTTAACTTTTCCATATCTGACTTCAGACTACAATTCCATGCGTATGATATATGATATCCTTAGTTGTCAGTTGTCAACCCACGTCATAAACTAACTAATTGTACATTACATTTACAGTCAAATAGTACAGCTTAACATGTACAGTATTATAACTGTGTGTGTTTTGTTTTCTCTACAGGTTTCTTGAAATCTCGGCCAAGTTCTTATCACAAGTTCCTTCAAATTACCACCAAGACGCAGGTCTGTTTATTATTGTGATCTAGAGTGTAATAACATTGTTTAGTATAATTACATAGGTGATTATTGAAAATTCTCCACGCTGATTGGTTGCCGTTGAGGTGATTATTACGCGATAATCACCTAAGCGATTTTCAAAATGGCGGCCGAAGCCTTTTTGTCAATTAAATGACGAAGAGATGTGTATTTTTTTTATTTTTTCCATATAATCACCTATGAAATTATACTAAAACAATTATTCACCTCAGGCTCGGTGATTATCGTGAATAAAAACCTCGACTTCGTCTCGGTTTTTATTCACCGATAATCACCTCGCCTTCGGCGAATAATTGTTAAGTATTGCTAGTGTAGGCCTGTATCTTACAGTATCAAAGTTTATGTGATCACTGCAGTAGGAATTTTGCATAGGTAGATTCTAAGTTTTGAAGGATTTGGCCAAAAAATTCCTACCTAGCTTTTGGAATATATACATACCGACCCTAATAAATACCGACCCTACACTTTTTTGTTGGATCATGCTGGTTTTGTTGGATCATGTAAGTGTTTCCACTTAGAGGAAAATGTTTGTGGAAATTTGAAATTTGAGGCAATATTAGGAAAATTTATCTTCGGATGTGGAAGCACTGACTAAACAAAATGGCGTCCGGTTGTTAGGAACATTTAAAAAAAGTTAAAACCAACCTACCCTATACCTAAGTTTTTACAAGAAGAAATAGAAAACCCACATTTTTTTGGCCTTTCTAGGAAATATTCGAGGGAACTGACTCAGTGTTTAGCACTAAGTCAGTTTCCTCAAACATTTCTTACAAATTCTTCAGAACTTAGAATTTATCCATGCAAAATTCCTACTGTGATCACAGAAACTTTGATATTGTAAACCAGTCTTTACCCACCTGTGAGTGTTGGCCATTCGTAATTTATCAAATATTGGATTATAGACGAAATTTTTGTTTACGTTTATAGTTGTTTTGTCGATTTATTGAGCAGCGGTCTTTTGTGTCATCGCAAGACCGTTACTTAGAATTCTATGACGAATGCTCGGAAAAGGTAGGCGATTACGCAGATATTGATATTTCTATAAAACTCATTAAGAGGCAATTTTTTTCAATGTTTTTGCGATGAAAAGTGCATGTTGAAAAACCTAAATTCTTTTTGGCGTTCCTGTCATAAAAAAAGTAGTAGAAAATTGTCAATTAAAATACAGTTATCAACGCCATGCATATTTACAGTAATATAAGCTGAACGTCAGATATCATTTTCTCTTTGGCGTACCATACAGTAATGAAACTATATCTATCAATCACTTTATTGCATGGTCGTGAAATAATATAATGATATTGGTAGACAATTAGGTAAACTTACAATCTGACTTCATTGTGATGCGACTGAAGCTATACAACATACGGTATTTTTATGTAGCCAAACCGAGTGTATTGGTGTCCGACCGAACTGTAGCTTTTTCCGACGTAAATCAAAATGTACCCTAGCCCAGGACTAGAGGCTTGTATGTTAAATGGAAAATCAGAGTACTATTGTACCGGGTGGCCCAAAAAAAAGTACTCCTGTTTGATTCGTAATAACTTCTAAACAAGTAAAGTTTTTAAAGAGAAATAACTTGCATTAAATAGAGGAAGTACTAACTTAGATTTTGATATATTACAGTTGTATTTAACTTAAAAATTCATCGAGATATTAATGTTAAAAATGGGGAGCATATTTTGGAAAGTGTCTAAAATTAGCGAAAATCGGCATATCAAATATTAACTCCAGCGTTTGTTTGCTTAATGACATATTAGGCTAACTTGTATTTCAGCGAATTATCGTTAAGGTTTGTAAGGGATATGGCGTAGATTTAGACATCTTACATGTAAGTCTTAGCTCATTGTTTCCTGAAATATGAACGTTCGAAATTATGCAAGTATTTAATATTAGGTCTTTGCAAACTTAAATGTACATGAAAGACTGACCATGGAAGGCAGGCGCTTAAATTTTTCGTATTCTTAAATAGCCTAATTTTTTATGTTTTTAATGGGTTCAAACAGACTGAGTAGATTATTTCTCGGTTAGAGCAGGATGAATATTCTTTATTGAAGGAAATAATATTGCTTTTTGCAAATACACATCACCGTATCAACGCTACTATTTTGTTACGTTTTGTTCCAAAAATGTTGCATGTCTCTGGGGAGTTGCTTAATTGTTATGTCTTATGGAGTTGTATGGTTTGATTGTGTTTCATATAATTCTCAGTTTACTCCATGAACTTGCCAAGATTAAGAAACGGCAAAAGAGTTTGGGTGTTCTTACCAAGATTTCAGAACGTTGCAGAAGTTAGAAGAGCTTCACAATTCCGTTGTGACAGCATGCCCTAATTCAGAACTACGAACGATCCAATGACGATCCTTCGCGATGCAGTGGTCTCATGAAATAAGGAAACGTATTCGTGCTAGGAACACACGCGAATTTCGGACGAATGAATCTTGCTTGTATTTTGTAGATATAATAATACTTTGTTTCATAATAAACAATTTGTCAAGTGTCATTTATTTACTGGTAATAGTGCATGTTTCAGTCGGGCAAATCTTGATTAATATTTGATACGCCGATTTTTGCATATTTCAGACACATCCAGAAATATCCTCCCGAATTTAAAGATTAATATCTCCGTGAATTTTTAAGTGAAATACAACTGTAATATATCAAAGTCTAAGTTAGTCCTTCCTCTATTTGATGCAAGTTATTTCTCTTTAAAAGCTATACTTGTTTAGATGTTATTACGAATCAAACAGGAGTACTTTTTTTTGGGCCACCCGGTATAAAAGGTCAACTGGAAATGTTGTTTTACCGTAGTCGAGCGCGGGGCGGCGAGCGAAATGGTGAAGTGGAAAACGAGCTTAAATTGTCGAAGTCTTTTTTAATACTGCTGTTCTGGAAAGCAACTTAATTTTGGCTTGGAAATAAAGAAACAAATTATTTAATATCTTTACAACATTTACCGTTTATTCATTTGTGTCATTCAGACTTATTTCCCAGTGAAAACTGAACTGAAGGTCATCGGACATATGTCCGACCCAAACTCAACGTCACCGGACATTTTGTCAGACGGTCCTGTAAAAGATATTTTAAGGCCTGATACTTTGTAGCTACAAACACTAGCTGGCTATAAGATATGCCGAGAATAGGCGCACTTTATAGCCACAAACCCTGGCTATAAGATATGCCGAGAACAGGTCAAGCCTGAAAATAAATTTCCAAGGGTGCCTGACAAAGTGTCAGGTACCAACTGATTGGTGCCTGACACTGGACATTTTGTGCTTGACAAAAAATATTAACGCAACAGAGCAAATATAATTTTTTGTGAAAAGCTTAGTAACAACAATTATGCCACTACTCACTAGTCAATGTACCTATTACCTAATGAACAAAATTTTGATCTAGACAAGTCTAGACAAAAGTTTCATCACAGCTTGAAAGAGCATCACAAAATTAGTAATATTCCGAAGTTTCGTTGCGAAATGTTGTAAAATTCGGATAATATAGCCCTGCGAAGTTTGCCGTTTTCCGCTTTCTGAAAAAAGGTATCAATTTCCCGCGCGTATTACAAAATGACTGAAAAACGGCAAACTTGGCCGGGGTATATTATCCGCATTTTACAACATTTCGCAACGAAACTTTGGAATATTACTAATTTTGTGATGCTCTTTCAAGCTGTGAATGTGAAGAAATTTTTGTTTAGACTTGTCTAGATCAAAATTTTGTTCATTAGGTAATAGGTCCATTATACCATACGGAATCGAACAATCATAAATTTCACAGCATTTTCACAGGCATATTGTATTTTTAATGCCAGTTGTAAACAGTTTCACCAATAGTTGTATTAATATGCTGCCGGACAAACTGTCCGCCAAAAAAACAGTTGTGCCGGACAATTACCTTTTCGTACCGGACAATGTCCGTGACCGGCCGCTTATTTTCAGGCTTGGAACAGGCGTACTTTATGGCCACAACCAGTGGGTTTGAGGTATGTGCCGAAATCCGGCGTACTGTATGGCCGCAAACCGTAAAAAAAGCGAGATGGATTTATATTTAAATTGATATTAGTTATTCATATTTTTGATTTTCGCATTTTTTAGGCTGACAGTGATCAACCACTCATAGAAATAGATGACTCCATTACCAAGTTAGTATTAGCCGTTTAACTTTTCTATATCTTCCATTGTTCAAATGCTTTGAAGAGGCGAGAACGAAGAGCCTCTTGTCCTATCGATTGAAAATCCCACTTCCACACTTGATTAGGTTCAGAATTTGAATCTCGTATGTAATTGGCCATTTGTAAAAAGATGTCAAACCGGTTTGAGAAATAAACATTACTGTAAGTTAATTATAGCCTGTATTAAAATATTCTATTAAACTCAACCAAGCATGAATATTAATACTCCTGTGAAAGAGGTATCAAACTGATTACTATTATGTTTATCTCCTGAGAAATTTGATACCTTCTTCACAGGAGTATTAATATTCATGCTCGGTTGAGTTTAATAGAATATTTTAATACGGGCTATAATTAACTTGCAGTAATGTTTATCTCTCAAACCGGTTTGACATATTTTTACAAATGGCCAATCACATGCGAGATTCAAATTCTGAACCTAATCAAGTGTGGAAGTGGGATTTGCAATCGATGTAACCGAGGCTCTCCGTTCTCGCCTCTCGTTTCTTTCACCTCGCAAAGAGCCTCTGGAACCAGGGTAATGCTTTGTGAGTCTTCACCGAAACACCATATTAATTTTGTTCGTTATTAAAGTTATTTTCTTGTTGCAGCAATATAACTTATGTGGTGACACCTCTTGTACCTGGCGATGGCGATGCAAATCTTTACAGGTTGGTTGTTGAAAACATCAGCTTTGTTCAGGAGTGGGAAAATATTTTGCCTTCTAGGACCGCATGCGAATATTCTGCCACAGGGCCTAAAGTTGAATGTTTCACAACTATACATTCAGTTTCTAATGTCTTGGGACAGATGCCACAAAACCTTTGAATTTCAACAAACGTCAATCCCCCCGTCCCCTTTCAATGTTGTGTCCCATTTCTGGTCAAGTTTGATGTGTTTTGGTTTAAACAACATTGATTGGGGAGGGGGAGGGGAGCGGTATTGTGTGTTAAGAACTGTAATGATCCACTTACAATCTAAAATTACATGTGTCGCAACAACTTCTGAAAGTGATTGTACTCCTGGTTCTACGCCTTTATACATGAAAAAATTTCTCAATTCTGATTCACTGGAAAAATTTTTTGAAAATCTATAGAAGGTCATAGATTGGAAATTGTATGGACCTTTATTGGAAATAGAATGGATTTTGATTATTCATAATAATTGTATATTTCCATACTCTGGATATAGTATAGAAATAGTATGGATGCGCTATGTATTTAATAGAGTAATTGCAATTTTTATAGTATGGATTTCACATTTTTTCCCCAGTGATTGGCTAAGTGCAGTGCAATTTTTTCGAAATACAATGCAAAAAATAGAAATACATTGCAAATTTCTTCATTTTTCTTATTTTTTTTATTTTTCAAATTTCACAATTTTCTTAATTTCTAAATGTGACTCACGCACGTGACTGCATAATTTTTGCATGTATATTATTAACAAGTGATAGTATGGTCTCTCGTGCAATTTGAGAAAACCGTACCGTAAACCTCCGAATATAAGCCCCCCCCCCCGAATATAAGCCCCCCCCCGTGTATAAGCCCACCACATGTACTAATGCTCACCTCGTTCTAAGTATAAGCCCACCGAATATAAGCCCACCCGAATATACGCCCACTTGTTTATCACTATTGTTTATCACTATTAATCACTATTATTACTATGCTTAACACTTGTTTATCACTATTACTATACTTGTTTATCACTATTACACTAACACAAAAGATCGTCCATGTATAGAAGCCCCCCCGTAAAGAAGCCCCCCCGTATATAAGTCCACCAGTTGTATAAGCCCATCAAAAATCGCTTACGAAAGAATATAAGCCCAGGGCTTATAGTCGGTGGTTTACGGTATAATAAACTTTTTATTAACCTCGCTTGCTTGGTCTTCTTTACAGAGAAATATCCGACCTCGGTCGACCCCGGTCCCATATTTCTTTGTAAAGACCTTGCGCTCGGTTAATAAGAAGTTAATATTGCACCTTACTTCATTACTGTATTTTACTCTGCATGTCCACTAACACCAGATGATTTTACTCGTCCAGTATAAATAGTACCAAAAAAATAAAATAACACATTAAGACTTACAGCAGGTATCAAAAAAATGTGAGTTAAAAGGTTTTGTTCCACATCACACTCAACACTTTAATAAAATAAGCAGAAAAATTTAGCTCTTCATGCATTTCATTAAACATTAAACATTTCACAGTATTAGCACTGCATAAAAACCCATATAAAAAATCCAATTTGGAATTAATTGGGCCAATTTACAACACTACTTTACAATTGGAATGAATTTTTCTGTCCATAATTCGATCAATTCCAACAGGAAAATTTAAATTCCTACTGGCTGGGGTGGCGCTAGACCTCATTGCAACAGGGCTATAGCCCCCTCCCCCCCCCCCAATTTGTGAACTAGCGATAATATGTAAAGTTTGAGAGGGAAATACCTAATAATAATTGCCACTAATATTTTCGTAAATTTCTCCACCTTTTAGCTATCACTTTTAATCGGTGTCACACAAATGTTTTATTTTTTCTCTTTAGTATCCAAATCCATGTTTCGCCGACTGGGATTCAATATTTTGCCAACTACCTGATGACTGGGCGGAGGGCGGTTATACCCCACACACCCACCTTTTTAAATAAGCGACGGCCCTGGAATTCCAATTGGATTTTTTGTAAGGGAAAGGATATATTATTATTAATGGTTTATTATAAAAATCGTCGCGCTCGATGAAAGCGAATTGCGAAATTATTTACAAACTTTAGTTAAAAGTATTAAAAAGTACCTTGTGTTACTGGCATTATATTACAACAATAGTTTACTGATCTA